CTGCTGACTCCAGAACTCCTCTAAGTGTTGCTTCATGGCCTGATCAAAAGGGGAATCCTTCACCTTTTCAACATCTTTCTCGTGATCGGACAACATGGACTTAGAAAAGAAGATTATCCCAAACAAAATGAGAAGTAAATCAATGATAAAAACTATTGCAGAAAGCATAATCAGACAACTTATCATGGAAGAAACATCTATATCCACATAAATTGAACAGGGAAGAGCTTGTACCTCTTTGTCTCTCTGGTCGTTAGGGAATGCTATTGGTGGAGGCATTGGCATCAATTCATGCAGTTCAGGGGATGGGATACAGGAAGATGTTAACTCTGCCGGTTTATTTAAATCCATGGCTGCACTATCAATCACAGGTCTTTTGGTTCCTCTAGATACTCCTCCTAAGGAAAAAGAGAAAAGGGAGAGAGGAAGGGTCTATAATGAGCAAGAAAAGTAATGAGCAACAGATTTGAGATCAGGAAATCCGACGAGAACTAAGTTTGTGCTATCTTTTTCTAGATATCCACACAAAGTGGCATGTCAGCTGAAAAATAATTGATTGTGAATTCTCATCTCAGCTTCTTTTCTAGTTTCATCAAATAAAGTAAGGTTGCTTTAAAGGATTTAATGAGCCTCTATAAGGATATTTTTTCCTTGGAAAAAAGAATACGCGCAGCTTGTGTGGTTAACACACGCGCTTTGCAGTTGCGTGCCTAGGAGTGATCTTATATGAAAATCAAAGTCCTAGATCTTTGGTATTTGCTTTCTGATATGACATTCTCTGTCAAATAGACACTATCATTATTTTCCGGAGTCACCATACCTCGGACGAATTGTCTATATTTTCATAATGCAGTAACACTGTGTAGTAAAATTTTCATAATAGATTACTACAGGTGTTAACTATTAATATAAAATGTTACTAAATTACTGAAAAGGTTGCCTCATCAAGCCAGAGGTGACATTTTCTACTCCAAAATCTGCAATTCACTACTTTTGGCTGTTAACTACACATAGATTGTTTTTCATGAGTTGGCGCGTGCACGAACCAGCATTAAAACTCGCTTTGGGCCAGTGTTGTAACCTTCTAATAACAGGTTTTATGAATCCATATTTAATGATACAACAAACTTTTGACCAAGAAGGCTTCAAATATGAGGATGTTCATATGCATGATAATAAAGGTTTGCTGCTTTAAATTTCTGTGGTCAGTTTATAGAATGCTTCTAGAAGGAATTAATTGCTCATGGAATAAGATCTGTTACTCTTGACTCTCCTTCAAAGAACTTCTTCATCCTCTCTAAGCTTGTTGAGAGAGTTAATAGCCAATTTAAAAGAAAATCTATGCAGTGAATTTTTTATCCAATTAAATTACACCAGATTCAAAAGGAAATTTTGTGAACTGAAAAAGTTACATAGCCACTTTCTGATTAATATTGACTGTTATATCAAAACTTCATAGGACATATATGAAATGTAGAAGAACTAAGTTTCCTTTATTCAACTCTCATTTAATTACTGGTTACTTTTTATTTCTAATGTGTATATTAGTCTTCAAACATAGTTTGTGATGTTTTATATATCACCATCCCCACCTAAAATGACTTAATCATAAGAATTCAATTCCTACATTTCAAGTTGAGATTTTCAATTCTCATCCTTAAAGAATTCTACTTGGTCTCTGTTTGGTTGTAAAATTTTAACTAACCCAAATGTCTGAAAAACATAAGCTTATTTACAGCTAAAATTTATATAATTGTTTGAAGAATTCGTGAAAGAAGTGAAAAAGGTTTATCCATGTGTCTCTATGCACAATGAAGCACAAACACGATGCATATTTACACATTGTTTAAAGGAAGCATTAGATTTTGCCTGCTTCTTCTTTCCTAGAGTTCTATCTTCATCCCAGAAATAACCCATCTGTTTAGAGAACCAACTAGTTACAAATAAAGAAAAGGCAACTAAGCTTGAATTGTTGAAGTCAACTTGACTAGTGTATCACATATCTGATAATTTGATTGGCCTATAAGACTGTAATCTGAATATACAGGCTCCTTTTGAGGTTATCAAAAATAAAGTTGAAAAAGTGTTAAACATATGTATTTATTATTTGGTTTTTGATGACTTCTTACGGAGCGTACTAAAAGACAATGTATTGGGTGCAAAATCACATATCAACTACCAAGATATGGCTTTCTGTGTATCAAAGAAACCAGATTGGTTCAATGTACTCTAAGTTGCTATATGTATGAATTCAACAGTACCAACAAATATGGTTGGTCACAGCTTAGGAGATTAGAGAAAGTCTACAAACTACAAATATCTGTACCAAATTAGAAAGAGAATTATTCAATGAATCAGCATACATTATAATTAATAACTTCAGTGTGAACATATATACAATAGCAAATATCAAAACAAGACAATACATATCAATAGCATGCAGTCTTATGCTAGTTTCCAAGCTTTTAGCTTTGATTCATTGTATCACTGGGAGCAACTTAATTATGACTAGTAGCCATTGATGGTCAGCGAGGGATCACCAACCTCTCTTGCTCGGTGAGTGAGTGGCGGAAGTGGCACCGGTGGCCATAAGGGCAAGTGTCACCGGCAAGGACCATCCTGCAAATGGTAGTCTTGTACCTGGGGTGCCTGATAACTGGACGCAGCTCCTTGATACCATGAGCGAACTGGCAATGGTTGCCGTAGGGACACGTTCCTGTTTCCTCCCACTTGTTGCAAAGTTCTGTCTTCAACATTCCTTGATTGTATACCTCCAATTCCAATTCCTCCTCCTCTGATATCTTCCCCATACGAACTCGTTGCTGCACCTTCAGCAACAGTAAGAATTCCCATTATAGTCTCATTTGCCTAGGTCGATTGTCCGCGTAAATGAGCAATTACATACATAAAAATACAGGCATATAAAACACCACGAATTCTAACCAACATGAAAACTTCAACAAGTAAGTTCTCAGTGGCAAAAGAAATTCACTGTCAATCAAGTCAAGAACTTTAGATCTGACCCGGACTAGAATGATGGACAGGCTGAAGTAAGAACAGCCTAAGTCAATTAATTCCGTTTGGTCCGGTCTGAATTCGTTCAGCTTTCGGCCTTGGTCCAGCCCAGTTCAAAAAAAATTTAGATTTAAATGTTATAATAAAATTGTAATAAATAATAAAAAAATTAATAAAACCAATTAAAAATTAAAAATTTTATTAAAGAACAATCGAAATAAAAATATATTCAAATTTTTTAATAAATTAATTTAAAATAATAATTAAATTAGGGTTTCAGTCAAAGATTCTTCCAATTAGATGAATTTTTAAAAAATTATTTTTTTAAGTTAAGAAATTACTAATAAAAATTAATAAATTATAAATTCATTAATTAATATACTTATAAATTTTTAAATATTTTGTTCGTAAAATTTTGATTTTATTAGATCGTAAAGTTTATTTTGTAAATTTATATTTAATTGATCGTAAAGTCAATTAACAATAATCCCAACCAAACATGCAAATCAATTTCTTACCCAATTAACAGAACTGGAAACCTTGAAATTCTAATCTAAGAACAATCACGAAAACTTGAAGAAAGCATCATAATTTTGAAACACAGAAATTAAGATTTACGAAGAAGTTAAATTATCAGTATAACCTCTACATTCTGATGATCAGTAGCAGTAAAGAGAGGAAAATATTAACGGAGACTGTATCGAACTAACCGATTTGCAGGGAAGTTGTTTCCGACACGAACCGCGACTCGTATCGCCGTTCCCCTGACTTTGTTGGCTGGCCTTCAAATATCCCTTGGATCTCACTGATATGCTCTTAGGCAACGAATTCCTCCTATTCACATTTATCCTCTCGAAGCGACTAGGTTCGGTCCTGTTTTGTGCACTTAAATCAGGAGTCCGATCGGGATGATGAAGATGACTGCACATAGCTGCACGAGAAGAGAGGCCGAGGAGCTTCAGGAGCTCGGTGTTAGCCACTCTGAGATCTACATTCTCCCGGCGGAGAGAATCGAGCTCGGTTGTTAGAACCCGGAGTCGAGCGACACAGAAGTCGTAGTGCTCACAAAGCTGTTGGTACTCGAGGATGAGACGGGCCTGGTGAAGGCGGCGGTCGGTGGTGAGGTCCGTGGACGCGGACGACGGGGAGGAGGAGGAGGGAGAAGGAGAAAGCGAGAGCGAGCTAGGAAGGTACGAATTTGGCGGGAAATATGAGTCGGACGGTGACGGAAAATTGATAGCGGCAAAATCTTCTCGTTGATCATCAGTTTGATCAGACGGCGTTAGTGGCGGAGGTGACGATGATGAACCGGGGAGATAGAAGGTAATCGCATCGGACGGTTGAGAAGCGTCGTCCTCCATCTTCCGTTTAATAACCTAATGTAGTATATATCCGACAGAAATTTCGATTTAAAACCGTTAGATATGCCTTAACAGAATAGCATGGTTGATGTAAAATGACCCACTTGTGGGATGCAATGGATATGTAGATATATATATATATGTATGTAAGGTATGTATGTATATGTAAGATATCTATATGTATATATGCGGGATGGTTAGTTAAGGGAATGTTTGGCGTGGCATGAAAGGATGTAAGTTGGGGAGAAGTGGAGAAAATGGAAGTGGGTCGAGTGGAATATTTAATTAAGATATGATTTTTCAAGTTTGTTGTTATAATAAGTTTGATTAATATTTATAATATAAAGTTTTGTGTGTATATTTATAGAGTTGTAGAGTTGCTTCCATGTCACAATTTTAACTAACTATATGGCCCGCCAAGCTTCCTTCAAAATCTATATATATACATATACATATACATATATATATATATAATGTTTAAATGTCTTATTCTATATAAACCCAACAACCATTTTTGGTATACACCACCTTTTTATTTATTTTTTAATTAAAAATATTTTTTAAACATTTTTATTTTTATTTAAAATTAATTTATTTTTAATATTTGACCATGTTTCTATTTTGTTAAATTAAAAAATAGGAGGAGAAATTGGGCCAATCAGAGTAAAAATATAAGAAGCTGGGCCTAACAATTAAGAGGCCCAACCCTATCCTTATCACTCTAAAATCTCCTCCTTTCCTTCTCTGCAATCTCCGCGCCATGAGAACCAAACCTAAACACGCCGAGGATCAGAACACCAACGCTCTCTGGAACTGGGGAGGAAACAAGAAGAAGATCAGGAAAAGAATTGAGTTCCCGGTCAACGAATTTCTCAGCGACGTGAAAGAAAACACATTAGGACCTGGAGGTGGCATAGGGCTTGGTTGCGGCGCCGGGTTAGGTTTCGGCATCGTCGGCGGTGCTGGATACGGCGGCTGGCCTTGGTCTTGGAACCACTTGAAACTAGTTTTCGGCTTCGGAATTGGCTGCGGTGTTGGTTTCGGACTCGGATATGGGCAAGGAATCGGGTATGGTTTTAGTTTCGATTCCTTCCGATCTTCCATATCCAAACAGAAATCAGATTGTAACAAAAGATATTTGATTAGTTGATCCGGTTGTTTCGGAAATTTTCTGTTCATCGTTTTGTGCTTCCTTTACAAGTTTATTCAATTAGTAAGTTGGAAAGGAAGCAGAGTAGGATGTTAAATTTTTGAAATAAATATAAACCCTCTATATAAGTATAGTAAATCGATTGCTGAAAATGTTAGTAACTGTAGTAAAACTAAACAAATCCAAAGCTTAAAAACGAAGATTTCCTACCACTACTACTCGCTACAAAAAGTAGAAATGAAATAACAAGTTATATTTAGTGTCTGTGTAGGGATTCATGATTCTGAATCAAACCTCTGTAACTATCTTGGTAAGAATTGATTACTTGCGAAGATCGATCTGTTTGCATTAGCAAATGCTGCAATGGCGGAATCATCGTCTGCTGCAATGGCGGAATCATCGTCTGCTGCAATGGCGGAATCATAGTCTGCTGCATTGTCTGTGCATAGTAGCTCATCAATGGATTAACATTGTCAAGCATCATCATTGTGCTGTTTATCCCTTGCATCCAGGGAGGATCGAAACAAATTGCAGGCGAGTAAGGCATCATTGTTGTGTTCTGCCGCAAACTCTGATTGTAATCATTGAAAGGTAGCATCTGTTGGTACGGAAACTGAACATCAATCGGTCGAACTTCTTCAGGAACTACCGCAGGAAAATTCATGTTGTTGATTATCCCCTCAGTCATAGCTGGTAGATACTGACATCCTCCAATTCCTTGTGTGTTATAACTAACAAGCTCGGACGCCTTTTTCTCATTGATTCTATTCCGAACCACATCAAGCTTACTGTCGAGTTTGCTAAGAATTATCACGAGTTGATTTCGTGATAAGCTATCGAATCTTTCATCCCATATCGGATACTTATCTGAGGTTGTTCCCTTCTGAAGTTGCTGAAGCTCCTGATCGATTCTTCTTGTTTTTTCGGTGAAAAAACCCGGGAGATGAAAAG